GGCCCTGCCGTACTGAATCAAACCTTCCTAGATCAATTAACAAAACTTGCAAACCTGCACCAAAAAAAACTTTCAGTAGAAGGCAGTACTCAAGGTAACAAAATCTGGGCACAAAAAAGATAGTTGTTTATTCATTTATTTCATTGTAGCTCTATATGGAATCATATCTACTAAAGCAAAACAATGTAGCTTATTAGCCAAGAAATTGAAAACGTTACAAGCTCACCATTCACCTTAATTAGCCACTCTACAATTTTAGTCCAAGTTGCCAGTAAGGATATTGGCCGGTAATAATAATAATAATAATAATAATAATAAAGGTCTTTTATTTTCAAAATAAAGTATAAGAAATTACAAGATATTCATAAAAAAAAGGGCGAGATTCAGTTTACCGATTTTTAGAAAAAAATCGGTATCTGTTCTTCCACCTAACCCTGTAGACAGAAAAGTTAGATTGCACTTAAAGGTCCTTAGAATAGATTTAATATAAAAAACAAAAAAAATAAAACCCTAAAAAAAAATATCAATTTTGTTTATACCTACCAAATAAAAAGCCCGTACAATAAAAATAAAAGGACACAGCAGTATAATTAACATGTTCATAATTATTACTGCCATAAATGAAAATGTAAGCAGATAAGGAGAGAAACAGAGTTTTCTTTCTCTTCAAGGAGAAAGAAGAAAAAACATAGGTACTCATCGACCTTCAAGTTGCAGAATGAAATTGTTTTTCAAATAAAATTTGAAACATTTTTTTTTTAAATGATAGTTTATTATTGGTTTTTAGAAGTAAGGATGGGAGCTGATTAAATACTGATACAATCTGATATGAGAAGGATCTTTTAAAGATTTGTAGAGAGTGTAATGGGGGTGTTAACCTTCCACTGAACCGAATATTTATATTGTGAACATCGGATCTGTATCTAATTTTATTGTGCAGATAGTTGGGAACTTTGTTTTTAATTATATTAAAATAAAAGGTCGCTGCATGTAAATATCGTCTGTTAAACATATTTAGCCATTTGCTAGTTATTAGAGTGTGGCTTATTGGACTAAATTTTCCTATACCATGGACCAATCGCAAGCAAGAATTTTGCAGTTTTTGAATTTTTTTTGAATCTATTTGACTCAAACACGGGTTGTAAATGGTGTCACAATAGTTAGCTTGTGACAAAACAAAACTTTCACATAGCATGGTTTTGATTTTTTTGTTCAAACACGAGCGATGCTGGTAAATTGTCCTTAAGTTCGCATAACCCCTCTGCAGACACCTGTTAACATGATCTGTAAACCTTAAATTCTGATCCATAATAAGGCCTAAGTTTTTAATAGATTTGTGCTCAACGATAGGCTCAGAACCCAGTTTAATGCACCCCCCATACGCAGCCACAAATTCCTCTCTATGATTCCTTGGTCCAAAGACAATCATACCTGACTTTTGAGCATTTAACTGAAGACCGTGTTTTTTAGAAAGATCCAGAACATTATTTAAATCGTAGTTAATAGCAGCTACAGCTTGATCGGATTCAGTTATAGAAAAAGGCAAGTATAACTGAGTGTCATCGCAGTAAAAATGATGAAAGCAAGAAAGAAACGCAGAAGGAAAGCTAAAGACGTACAAAGAATACATCAGGGGACCTAGAATTGTTCCTTGAGGAACGCCTGTCGCTACCTGCAAAAATGAGGATAGATTGTTATCATAAAAAACCGCTTGATTTCTACCCAGTAAAAACTCATCCATCAGTTTGTTTGCACTCCCGGACAATCCCAAGTAATGCATAATGGAGCTCAAAAGCTGATGATTCAATGTGTCAAAAGCCTTTGAGTAGTCAAGAAGTACAAGGACTGTTAGTTTGCCTTCATCGATTGCTCTAAATATATCGTCTGTTATTTTGGTAAGTGCTGTTGCGCAACTATAATTGGGCCGAAATCCTGATTGGTGCACAGGTAAAAGATCATATTTTTCAATATGCGTCCTCAGTTGAGTCTCGATGATTTTTTCTAGGATCTTGGACATCGTCGGTAGAACGCTAATTGGTCTGAGATTATTGAAAGATTCGGGATTTTTTATTTTTGGAAGAGGGGTTACCTTCGCTTTTTTCCAGGAGGACGGAAAAACGGATTCTCTCAAGCAATAGTTTATAATATGCGTTAAATAGGGTGAAAGGAACGGTAAGCAGAGGCTTAAAGTTAAAATATTTATACCGTCCAATCCTGTTGCTTTTGACTTAATTTTCTTAATAATATTCAAGACCTCAGATTCTGTCACTGGACTAAAACGAAAGACACTTGATATGTTATCTTTCATGTTATTCTTGTAAAAATTCCTCAGGGAGTCATCAACAGTTATTTTTGGTATTGATTCAATGAAATGCTTATTAATATTTTCAACGTTACTTAGATTTTCAGGAAGGGCAACTTTATTTTCTTTTTGTAGCAGATTTAAGGATTTTAGAGAGGCCCATAAATTTTTTGAGTTTCTATTAGCTTGCATATTAAAATATGCTTTTTTCTCTCGAGCAACAGCTGCTGTTATCATGTTACGTAACTGTTGATAAGACCGCCAATCTCTGACGTTTTTATTTTTTTTATACCCTGACAACACCCGGTCTCTGTCAACCATCATGGCTTTTATATTTTCAGTTAGCCATGGAGCATAAGGTTTAGTGATTCTGTAGGTTTTAAAAGGCGCATGAATATCCAACAGTGCCGTAATGCTGTCATTCAAAAAATCAACTTTGCTATCGACATCGCTCATGTCATATATATTTCGCCATGGAATAGACCGAAGGTCATCCTCAAATTGATTAAGATTAACATTTTTGAAGTCTCGCACATTTTTGAATATTGGTTTTTTGCTTTCATATTTAAATATAGTCGTGCAAAAAATCAACTCATGATCCGACAGTCTAGCATGTAAAACCCCTGAAGAATCCACCAACGATTCATCGGATACAAGAAAATAGTCCAACAATTTATGAGAATGTTCTGTAATTCTGGTGGCATCTACAATAATCTGATAAAGACCCAAACCCCCAAAAACATCCACAGCCATTCTCGCATCAGACCGTGTTTTTACAAAATAGTCAATATTAAAATCACCCATACAGAAAACATTGTCAACAACTGGAATAATGTTGCCAGTCAAAAAAGTTTCGAAAGTGTTTAAAAATTCAACATAATAAGATGGTAAATTTTTATCACCCCCCTATTAAACAAAGGTACTACCCAAGATTGCTTCAAAAATGAGGGAAAACTTCCGGTAAGAAAAGAATTAATAATGGAATCCGCCAACACATCAACAGCCTGAGATATCGTCCCATACAGAAGATTTTCTATTTTTGATACTCAGTTTCTGAGCAATCGTACAGTAGTATGAATTAATATTATCTGCTTTCAAATTGGAAGCACATATGTATATTTCTTTTTTTTTTTTTTTTCGCGTAGGTCGTTTCTCTTTTTGTTTATTGGATGCGGATGCCCAACCTCTCATTGTAATAAATCTTCCTTGCCTGTTTCATCGTCTTTCAGTAGATGCTCCTGTATCCATTATTTAAAGTAGGTAGCACAACACGACCGTGGAGTTGCAACAAATAAATATTTTCACATTTTAAGGGTAGGTCCTGGGTGTCCAAGTGAAATGTAGGTAGAGCAATCTTGCCCAAACAATAGGGATTCCGTTACGTAATTGGGTAGAAACGGCCAAAAATTGAAACGCACATAATAGAAAATGAGTATTTGATTATGATCATTAATGACATAACCTAATGACGTTATGGTTTGTGTTTGTGTCAAATGTTTGTGTGCCTCTTGTCGGCCATATTTGTGTCACGTGTTTTGGATAGTCTAATTAGGCACTAGCTGACGTCACATACATAACCTCACATTCGTTGGGGGGACAAACAAAGCATTTGAATGAGGATCATTTAACACACATAGACGCTAGGTTGTCAGCAATGACATAACGTAACTTTCGATAGGGGGGCAACATGTCATTAAGGTTATATGTGAGACGTCAGCTAGCACCTAATTAGTTGAATTTTTGTTAACTGCCGGAAAAGATTATAATATTTGAGTTTGACAGTTTGACTATTAGACATTGTGGCCCATAGACAAAATGTCGGATTCGAAATTCGATAATGCCATATGGTACGGGAGAAAATGCGGCTCATCGTTGCCACATTTTGCACAATATCTTAAGAAGCTTAACAATTGGATTTTGTTTTGAGAATCAAATGATTGCTTAGAGGAAATCAGGTAATCAATTGAGAATAATATAGGAATCCCCAAAAAAATGGAAATCACCTGGTAAAATATCCAACAATCATAAGTAACTAGTAATTCTTGGGAATACATGGGATTTATTGATCAGTGATTGTAGTAAAATTCAACTTTGAGACTCAATTGATTAAAAAGTATTTGAGCTACCACATTCAATTTAGCACAGAATTATAGAAAATTTAATCCTCTTTTCAATGATATACAATATGTTTTAGTTTGCTCAAATTTCAATTAAGATATGGGCAGCGGCGCCGACTTTTGAAAGTCCTCATGGGTGCAGGATAATAATAAATAACTTTGTTTATAGGGGAAGGGGGCGGGAGAATTTTTTTTTCCGGATGCCATGCCCAAAAACGTCTATTTTATAGTGTTTCCGATTGCGGTATTGCACGATTTACCATTTCAGGGCCTAATAAGTAAAGATGGCCGTGGCTATGGAGTTATAAATCTTTCAAATATATATTTTGTTGAAACCATCGTTGAAATTGTGTCATCAATTCTGGGGGCTCCGCAATTCGAATAATCCTTGTAGTAATTTTAATTTGTTTGGATTTTCTTGCGTCCCACCAACCAATTTTCCATGTTATATGACCAAATTTATCCACAAGAATTTGCTTCATTTTTGAAAAGGTTATTCAAAATTGGTGGACTTTTGATATTACCGTTTTATCATTCAAAGATCCGCTAATAAAATAAAAAAAAAAAAATAATAATACCTTTTATTGTCAACTAAATGGTATACCTACTTATATAATCACAAAGCAACGTCACATAAAAAGCATAATAAACATAATCAACAAAAGTCTTATTTATATAATTATATATATTAGGTTAAGAAAACAGAAAACAAATAAAGCTATAATAAAAACAATACATTAATTTCACAAACAATAACCAAGTAGGTATGTGTAGCTTAAAATATAAAAAAAGATAAATATTTCAAAACAAATTAAAAATCTAAAAATTTAGCGAGTAGTATCATGTAAAGCTACATTTAAAGCTTCCGTAACGTAAGACTAAAGACTGAAGAAAAATAAACAAATGTAAATCAATATGGACAATTCATAGTGCAACCGTTACGACTTAAATTCTCGTTAAGGATCGCGAGGTTCCGTAAGCAGCCAACCAAGAAACTGACTTTTAGTCACATTTTGTTGTTGTTTTATTTCTGAGTGTCTCAAGTTTTATGTGTAAGTTTTACGGCTTACTTTTTAAAACTTACGTTACAAAAGCTCTAAACGAGCCTTAATACTAACCTTGGGCTGGGATCATCACAAGTAGAATTCTACTTTTATGACGTCACCCGCGACCTATTTATCGCGTACAGTACAGGAAATGATTACGGTTGCTAGGCAACCTGACGTCATATTCTGATAGAATTCTAGTTGTAGTGATCCCAGCCCTGTACTCAAAGAAGTCCAAAAAAATATGCGCAATGAAATCACTGCGGATTTTTTTTTACTTTTTTAAAATATATTATGTATTTAGGATAAAACTCTGCATCGGAAAACTTAACAAAAACAATACTATCTTTCCTGATAGCAGTATCGTAACCTGGAGGAGGCACAGCTAAATTTTCATCACCCAAGCATTTATTTTTCACTAAAACGTCTGCTAATATCATAACTTTTAAATTGGCATCATCTCTATCACAAAATCGTTCAGCAAATAAAGGCTTGGGAGTAAAATTGACGCCTTTGCCATTTTTGTGACCCCTTTCGAGTCCGGTGAATCGCCAATTGAAATTGTCGCTGCAAATACTTTTCACATATTTGCTTTTCGTGCCGTGAAATAGCTGCATAGGTTGCAAATTCGAATATTTAAAGTGTTGCGTCAGCTGAAAAGACTTTTTTAAAAACGGATTCTGTACTTCTCTTATTTTTAAGACGCTCAAGCTAGGAGGAAATCGAGCAGAGATTTTCTTGAATTTTTTAGAGCCGTTTTCTACAATTTTGTACTTGAGGACGTTAACAATTGGCTCATTGTTGAGTTGCAAAATTGAATGATCTATGAATATTTGTTTCGGTTGTGGCAATTGAAATTGATTAGATGAAGCTTCATTTTTATTTTTGTCGATGTCCAAAGTGGATCCAGAGTTAAGCGAATGATTTCCGGCTCTTTCAATGGCTTTCAAAAATGAGTTTTTTGAGGCTGAAGTTCCGGCCGGATCTTCTTTTTTCTTTGGTTTCCGATTGTTTTTTTCGAAACACTCCGATGATATATTTAGATTTTCAAGTAGCGGAGATAATGCTGCCAACTGAGCCAAAGTTTCCTCCCAACTAGCCATCTTAAAAGCCAGGATATCCTAAAAAATAACATATTATATCAAATATTTTCTAAGTTTTTTTATTCAATATTCTAGGTTTCATTAGAAACTGTAGTTGGTAGTTAGATATTTATTTTATAGTTTTTTACATTATTATTCTGGTAAGAAGGTCTTCACTGGCCAGTAGAATATGTTAACTAGCGTATAATGTAGAGGACATTTTCAATAGGAAACTTTATTTTCTGAGCGAGATACAAGGAATTGAAACCCCCACTCTAGGGCTCGGGTTTCATGAAATTTTGATTGGTACAAACCGCATTTTGATATCCTCAAGCGCTCTGCTTTTTCTGATTTCGATATAAAGTTCGATAGGTTTATCTCTAACTGATTTGGAGACAAAAATATATCTGTTTTTGTCATAAGAAAATGACTTTATATCTGTAAGGCAAATGAGAAAGGTCTTTTTCTAACACATTGTTCCTTGTGACGAAAACAAGTAGGTATTTTTAACTGTTAGAGATAAACCTATCAAACTTAATATCATTGAAATCAGCAAAACTAGAGCGTCGAATTGATATGGCGCCAAATAGAAAAAACTCAGAATATCACTGGATTCTGCTTAGAAAAGTGCTTCAAGAAAGTTTTTACGAAAATCAATTATTCTCATAAATAGAAAAGTTATGAAGCTTTCACAGTCACACAGTATTCCTCAAAATCGAGCAATAATCAAAATTTCATGAAATTTAAGGGATACATTTTCTTGTATTTCGCTTAGAAATTGACGTTTCCTATTAAAAGTATCCAAATTGGAACACCCTGTACACAATAATTTATTTTTTACTTAAGTCATTTGTAAAAAACACAAAAAAAAAATTAACACAATAAAATAATAGTATATTACATGCGGAGGTAGAAAACTCGGAACTGGGATTTTGCATGGGCGTTGAAAATAGTGTTAGAATAGTACAGTGGCGCACCCAGGGGGGAGGGGCTTGGCCCTCCCCCAGGCCATCCCTGAAAACTGAATTTTTCCGTTTAAAAAACGAAGCAACATCAAGGCGTGGCACCCTGACACCTTAATTTTTTTTTTAGACTCATTCATAAGCCACATCCTAGGGCCCCCCCCCCCCCCCAAACATATTTTCTGGGTGCGCCACTGGAATAGTACCCTTATAATTGCATGCCAACACTCGAAGTACGAGTTGGAAAAAAAATACGAAAATCTGAGTATTCATGCATTTTTACTTGTTAAGGGTAGTTCACCGTATTTCTTCATATTTCGACGGGGTTCGCGTCAAAGGGATTTTGAATGGGGATTGGAAATAGTGTTAAAATAATGCTCTATTAATTTAATGACAAGATTCGAAGTCTGAGTTGGAAAAAAATACGAAAATCTGAATATTTATGCATTTTTACTTGTTAAGGGTAGCTTTTCATATTTCGACGGGATTCGAGGCAATGAGATTTGGCAAAGGGCTTGGAAGAGGTATTGAAATAGTGCTCTATCAATTTCATGGCCAGAGTTGATGTGTATGATTTATTGATTTAATTTTGAATTAAAAAAAGAATGCTCCGCCAATGGTCGTTCGGGTGTTGCCGTGAAATTGGTTGCCAAATTTTGGCTGCTAATTTCACTACAGTGCGAAAGTTTCGTTTGTCCCTCAATTTTAAGGGTGGGTTGGGTAGTACCATTGACCCTGTAACTACCCTGAAAATTTCATATCGAAAATCCGGTCCTGTACTGAAATAGTAGGTACATTAACTACATTACACATATTCGTACCTTCCTTGATTTAAATCGTGATTCCAACCTACTCGATATTATTTTGATTGTTGTTTGTTGGAAAGAAATTTAGTTGTATTTTGTTTTAAATTATTTAAAAAATATATTCAATTTTATTATTTTTAAGCAATAAAAGTTGTGGTACGGAAGGAGCGCACTTCACATTTTCGACCACGTTCGCGGATTTATATTTGGGACAAGGACCTGGGATGTTAATTTTGCTTGTTCTGCAATGTAATTTCAAGCTACAAGAAAGAATCGCAATTAGGTTTTCCAATTTTCGGGATCCTGGGATAAAAAACTAGATCCCGGGATAACCCCAATACATTTTTGTGAATCTAACGCCACATCTACATCATGGAAGGAAGTAACAAGTAACATATTTTTTTTAAGCGGTCTACTAAATTCTTTTATCTACAAGCGTTTGGTTATGACGTTTTTACATAACCATTTTTCTAGTATTTGAGTTACGTCATGACACTCATAACACAACTAGTGGTGTTATAGATAACACAACTAGTGGTGTTATGGACGAGGTTATGAGTCTATAATACAACTATTTTTGGTGATTTGACAAATGTCAAAGGTAAACCTGTAAAGGTAAAATGAAGGTAGACAACTATTAATGAACGAAAATAATTGGAAAAATATTCTTATTTTTCGCTTTGTAGATAAAACGTTGTACATCACACGTGCGTTTAAACATGACTACAAAACTAGTGTGATTAGAATGACTCGGTCTACGACCTCGTCCTTCTAATCCTTCACACTCGTTATTGTAATCATGCTCATAAACGCACTTGTAATGTAAATAACTATTTTTTTTAAGATAAAAGTCAAAATGACATTCAGCCGTATGAATAAAAATAGAGCATTTCTTCTTCTTCTTCTTCTTCTTTTGAGTTTAACACTGCGTTAGTGCGACAGCACTCTTACGCAATTTTGGGTGAGTCTACTTACTGCCATGTGTTGTGTTTTCAGTTAATTTTTGTTCAGGGAAAGGGAGGGGAGTGGGGAAAGGATAGGAAGGAAGGTAAAGGAGGGAAGGGGATTTCATTCACTAGAAAAGAAGTGGAGCTCTTAAATTTCTGAACATAGTTCTGTCAGGGTTAATAGTATAGTTATCGTCAAATAAAGATTTAATTATGTCATTTGTATGGTTAGTTACTTTGTCAAGAAACCGCGTATGTTTCTCAACAAGGTACTCCTGGATTGTATCAACGCTCAGGTCTGTATGTAGGTCCGCATTGCGGACATACCACGGAGCGCCGACCATCCTGCGGATTACCTTGTTTTGAAACACCTGCAGTTTCTTTTTTGACGTGTTGTCTGTGAGAAAACTGTTGCACCGTAAAGTAATGTAGGTCGGATAACTTGTTTGTATAGTAATAGTTTGTTTTTTAGAGTTAGTTTACTGTCCTTGTTAAGTAATGGATAAAGCAATCCCACTAATCTGTTGCATTTATTCAGTTTATGATAAATGTGGGGGGTCCAAGAAAGTTTACTGTCCAATAATAGTCCTAGATATTTAATTTGATTTGTCCATGTAATTTCGGAATCGTCTAGTATGAGAATGTCAATATGCTTGTCACGTTTGTTGGAGATCAGGACGGCTTGGGTCTTATCGATGTTAATTTTAATTTTCCATAATTTTGCCCAGTCAATTATGGAGTCAAGATGATTTTGTAGTCTTCTGTGTATGTGATGTAAGTACTTTTGTGAAGTGTAAATACAAGTGTCATCTGCGTAGATGGACATTTTAGTATGGGGATTAATGGGGATGTCAGCTGTGTAGAGATTATAGAGCAGTGGAGCCAGGACAGAACCTTGAGGAACTCCCGCTTCTATAGGTCTGACATTTGAGAAAGTATCTTTGTTGAGTTTGACACGAAAACTTCTGGCTTCAAGGAAATTAATGAGAATTTTGACAAGAGATAATGGCAGAAAATATTTGTCATGAAGTTTGACTATGAGTCCAGCATGCCAGACGCGATCAAAGGCTTTCTCAACATCCAGCAGCACAACACCCGTTGAGGCGCGGCGCTGCAGGGCGCGAGTAGTTTCTTCAACCAACCTGGCAAGCTGAATCTCAGTGGAATGATTTGGACGAAAACCAAATTGTTCGTCAGGGAGAATGCTGTCCAGATAATGTAAGGATTTAAGTTTTTCGTGAATTATTTTCTCAAGAATTTTAGAAAGTGAAGACAGAAGACTGATTGGACGGTAATTTTGTGGAAATTGATGATCCTTATCTGGTTTTGGAATCAGTATCACGGTTGCCAGTTTCCATGCTTTAGGAAAGTAATTGAGATAAAGGCATTCGTTTAGAATGCGAGTAAATGTCGCGACGACGTTGTCCGGAAGGTTTTTGAGGACTTTATTACTAATATCATCGTAACCAGAGGCTTTTCTGCTGACTGAGCGGGCAATGAAAAATTTTACGTCGTCTGTGGAGACAGGTGTTATTGTATCATTCGGAGGAATAGGCAACCTACAGATTTCTCTATAGCGCCTGTCTACGTCCTCTTCATGAACAATATCATCATCAGGGTGTTCATTAGGCGAAAATTGTGATTGAAGTGAGTCAGCAAAAGCACTTGCTTTTTCTTCATTAGTATACACCAGACCAGCTCTACCATGAATGGGGGGAATCTGCCTATTTTTCTTATTTAAAAGAGAACGAATTATTTTCCATAGAGAATTATCCTCAGGGGACAAGTCAGCTAATAAATTACCCCATTTCTCGTTTTTGTGTTCCTTAATTAAACTTTTAATTAAGTTCGTCAGTCTGTTACATTCAAGTTTAATATTTGGATCTCTAGTCCTTATTGCCAACCTTTTAAGTCGATTTCTCAACTTAATTTGCTGGCGTATGTGATGTGGTAGTGAGTATGGGTTATTTTGTTTGGTAGTTATAGAAATTTGAGTGCTATTTAAACAGTCATTTACTTCTTGAGTAAACGTGTTAATAGCACTGTCAATGTCCAGAGTCGTGTTTAACACGACTGGTGGGATATGATTGGCTTGAAGATGTGATTTGAATTGCGGATAGTTGTTAAAGGAAAAAGTATGGTGAGTATTTACATCTGGGACCTGACCACCAACTTTAAGACTAATTGGAGTGTGGTCGGAGCTGAGATCGTTAATATTGCCAATACCAATGTTATAAGGGACATTTTTGGATCGAGCAAGGTCTAGAATGTCAGGGGTAATATTATGAAAATGAGTTGGCTCTAAGGGAGCATGAACTGAGATG